CGGCTGCGATTGCGATTGCGATTCTTCCTCGACTGATCGGAAAGCAGCGACTCGCGGCTGTCGTTTGGACGGCTGTCCATTTTTTCGAGTCGCAGTCGCAATCAATCACAGAACTCCGTATAATCGACGAGCGTGACGCGCTCGTCATAATCACATTTATTTAACAGTATGTAGAAGTCGGTGATCATTAGAATAAGGTTAGTGTTGCTTTATGTTACGTATTTTTTTTTATTTAAAAACAAAACAATTTAATGAGGAGATGGACTATTATCGAACATATCTGTCATTCATCCGAAGCCATCTGTGCAAAAAGCAAAAACAGGAGAAGAATAGCATTGCAAAATATAGAGTATTTTCATAAATAAAAAGTGCATAACAAATCATTGTTTATAATTCATATACTCTATTTACCTAGGGAATTTCTCCGGATCCTCTAATTGTAAAAAGATTATGATGGCAACTTTGTTCTTTTCTTCTTGCTATCCATGGTTTCACCCACATTTTCCTGCGTGGTAGTGTCTTATAATACTCCATAATTATAGCAAATGTCATCATTGCACATATCTTCTTTTTACGTTTCAATCGCATCAAATCCATATTCATATTGCAAATGCTCTTGCAATGTTAACAGTATTTAGCCGCAGCCGCGATCGCCAATCGCAAGTGTGGTTGGAAAACAAGAAGTCGCAATCGCAATCGCAGCCGCGAGTCGCTAGCGTGATACGGTCTTGAGATAAGTCTCGACGGGACCCGATCCGCGCGCGTGCCGGGTGTTTTTAACATCGGTCGCGCGTACTTGGCCACCCCCTCGCTCTGAGCCGGAATTTCGGGGGCTGCAATTTGCGCGGGGGCAAAACATCGGGCCGCTGCACAAATTGCGCGCGAAAGTGTCAGGTACGTACGCGGCGCGGCGGTGCGCGCGGTTTCGTGAACCGCGCAAATTTCAGGCCCCGCGGCACGATCGCGAATTCTCGCGATAATTCGGAGGTACCGCCGCCGCTATCTTCCCGATCCCCGCGCATCCCCGCGCAGCAGTACAGTTTCGCCCTGGCCCCTGCCCTCATCCTTCACAGCCCTCCTCTTCCTCTCCTTGACCGAGCGATCCTTCCGAACCGAGCCCGATGCATCTTCCGACTACTATCCCGCGTAATCTCGCCGTTCCCCACCCCGAGGCGCTTCGTATATTTCGTGCACCGGCTCGGTAACGGTGCTTCTGCTGGCGGACGGTGCGCGGCAGGTGCGCGAAGAGAGCAGTATTCAAACAATGGGAGAATTTACGGACAAAAAGTGTCGCCGAGATGCAACCGCGGAATCGAGGAAGCTCGGAGATAAATATCTCTCCCAAGGAAGGAGCATAAAGGACAGTGTTTCCCCGTCCCCCTGCCCGAACTGTTTCGATCATTCGACAGCCATAAATTTCTTCTCGCTGCGCGCGAGCGACTCGCCTGCCCCCCCCCCCTCCCCATAAATTTGCCCAAGGATTGAAAGCTATTATTTTATTCTCGCCCGCGCACCCCGCGCGTCTCGTATCTTCCCTCATCGTCGCCTCAGCCCGCGATTTATTATAGCGCACTGTCGCGAGTTGTGCGCATCATTTCACGTCTAAAGTTAGCGCGGAAGTTTCAAGGTGACACGAGTTCGGGGGACGAGTCTCATGCGAGCGCGCGCCCTTATCGACGAAACAGCCATTTTCCGCGCGCTCGATATATCAACGACTTGTCAATACTTCAAGGTGCTTCTCTCTTTATCGCCGTCCGACACTATCGCGACATCGGTAGAAAGACAAAGCGCCTCCTTTTTCCTTCAAGAAAGACCATTTCTCGCCGGTCTCCCGAGCGTTTCTCGCTCGTCGCGGGATTATCATTCCGCGGGATTTCAGAGCGATGACTCGATAACTTTCACCTCGCCGCGCCTCGCCGAGAGTCCATCCGCGCGGGCTCTCTTTATTAGACGGGTTCGTCGACACCTTCGACACCTGCGAGAAACGGGAGGACTTTTCGCGGCACGGAAACCGGAAAGCGAGGAGCCGCCGCTCGCGCGAGAGACGCGCGCGATCACCCCACGGGATATCTAACGGCGTTTGTAGCCGCCGACTCTCCCGGAGCGGCGAATATACCGAACAGATGTCAACGAAATCCACTCCGGGAGGCGGCCGCGATAATTTCGCAGACGTCATAGGAGGAGGATAGCTGAGAGCGAGCTGTTCGCTGATGAATGCACCGCGAATAAGTAGCGCTATTATTGACTCCGAGTGTGTCGAAGATCGATCTCGGAGAGACTGACGCTCGACTTAATGACGAGAGGAATGCATCTCTAAATGCGCTGGAGTAACCTAGGATATTTTATTAGCGCATAAGGTCGAGCTATTATGAGGAATTAATAGCAACTATACACGCCTGACATTCTCCTTTTAGTAGCAAAGTCTCCGTCTTTAATTGACATTATTAAGCAGTTATAGCCCTCTCGGTGAACTCTCTTGCAATAATGATGCTGCTAATTGCGATAATAATATGTGCATAAACTAGCATCGCGCCGTTCGCGTCATCGAGACGATTGTTCCCCGTGAAACGGTGAATGATACGCGAGGACAAGCGTTTACGTTTCGTTACGTAAGAGAGATAAGCGCCGCTGAAGTGATATTGAAAATTTCTTTCGCACGCGCACGCCCGTGTGCTCCGAGAAATTTGACCGGTTGCGCAACGAGGCCTTGATTTTTGTCGACGGCACGCGACTTCCCTATGATGCGAAACGGAAAATTATGAATTTCGACGTGGCGACGCCGGGAAAAAATCGGTCGCCGAGGCTGAGATTTTCCGAGGTTTTACGGTCGACTGGCATAATCACGGCCTTTGGCCACGGAGTATAATTGGCAAATATTACTGGCCAAGTAACGCAAAATGTGTCTACACACTGGGTATGTATGTGTGTGAGTTTGTACGTTCGTCGTGTGCAAAATGACGTTGATATGTAAGCTGGCAATGTCCTCGAAAACTGAAATAGTTATGACTTGACTTTACAGAAAGATCTGACAGGGATGAACTTACGTAATTATGTCAAGCCAGTACGACAATCACAAATCCTACGAGTACGGCTGTTTTTTTCAATTTTTTTCAGCGGACATTTAAAAGATATTACTAATTGAAACTAATCGAAACTGATATTCGGGGGCAAACACGATGGTGTATATTGCACACGAATATATATGAAATTTTGTCGCTAAAAACTAAAATAATACGGACCAAATATGATTTGATTTCAAATCAGTATCGGTTTGCACAGAAACTCAATATCTGATTGAAAGATTTGTACCTTACTCACGTCACTGAGAGAGATTCGTCACAAATAAAAATTACTTGATAAAATTAATAAAAATTAATTGATATCGCAAAAGATGAGTCATTTTAACACATTGCCCACCGACCTATTGATCATGATTGATCATTAATCGACTGATCATCCCGATCTCGTGATAATTCTGGAAAAAATATGATCGGTTCAATTTTCAAATTTTACCACATTGATCCCGCATAAACATTGCAAATGAATTGTGAATGTTTGCAATTATGTTATATTATGTTATATTGTCGATCGCCAATGTATTATTGGTAAACACGACACGAGCATGGTCACTCGTCTTCTACGTCCTTAAAAGGAATTACATCAAGTGTACGTGTATTTGTGTACGTACGTTAAAAACGTCAGAAGCAAACACGATAACGCATAATCTGTATCGGAATTCGAAGGATACAGAGATCGGCAGAATCAAGCTTATTATATCATATTCACAAAGTACTTGGGCGAATATTATATCTATGCTCGACCAATATAAGCTATGCTAATACGCATATGTTTAATAAGCATGGCTTTCGTATAATATTCTTCGACGACATGCAGAGATCCAATTGCAGTATTGAAGAGACAAAATAAACTCCAAGCAAAAACCGCGTCGTCCGAATCCTTGACACGAAAGTGTTTATTCAATTCTCTCTTTCTCTCTCTCTCTCTCTCTCTCTCTCTCTCTCTCTCTCTCTCTCTCTTTCTCTCTCTCGGGTATCACTCTCCTGTCGAGACGTGATCGAGACGAGGATCCTCGATATTATTTATAAATGTCTATAAAACATTTAGTCTCTCAGAAATGTGCACGCACAATCGATCGTTACTTCATTCCAATTTTTCGCATAATATTCGAGCGTATCTGATCTAACATTTTCTTGCGACCTTTTGTGATGCTTTTTGTATCATAAAACATCGCTAAAATAAAACTCGTATCTCCGAATCTACGCAACATTTTCGCTAACGATAATTTTATTTCGAACATGGCCGTCGTACATGTTGTTGTATGCCATTTCTGAAAGTGGGATACGATGTAGCCGGGAATTAAAAACATTTTATAATTATTGTAAAATACGAAGTAAACATGCAAACAAAATTCGTATCATATTCACATTTTTGTCAAGTACAAGTAACGATAAATAATTACGAGTAGTCAAATGATTGCATTTCATTGGAACTAAAAGTAACCTCTGACCAAACTTAACCTCCTCACCATTTTGCATTCGCGCGCGACATCGATCCCGCGATCGAAAGCGCCATTGTCCGTGCATGGACGGGTGAATCTGCGGATTTCATATTCACCGATTTTCGCGTCTCGTGACAAACGACACATCCTGGACCCAGGTTGGACGACTTTCCCGAGAGACGGGCGGATCCGCTTGCTCTCGTAATTCGGAGTGAAGTAACCGTCGAGTTGGCGTACTTCGGTTGTACGCACGAAAGGCCGTTCGCGGCTAAATGTAAACACAACGGCGGCGCGGCGCGAGGCGTCGCGCGCGCGACGTCCGGACGAACGTAACGTAAATATGCCGAAAACATGCTCGCGTCCTTTCGCGGTCGGCTCGGCTGTTACCGAAGTAAGAAAGAGAGAGAGAGAGAGAGAGAGAGAGAGACCGCGGAAGGAACGCAGTGAAAAAGCTCTCATATCGAGATAAAGGACTACTCACCTGAAGATCATGACAGCCATTATCCCTGTGACTGGCAGCACGTATCACCCCCGCACGCCAACCCCACTCACTAATCTTATTCACCTTCGGCTTGGTGAAACCACTCACCGAGAGAAACCTCTTTCCCACGATCTCCTCGCGAAACTTGTACGCCATATTACGATCGGTAAACCGCGACGTGCCGAATCCGCGACTTCGGATCGCCACAGCCGGGTCTGCCAGTCACCCTTTCCCTCGCTCGTGTCCCCCCCGGTCCCCCCCTCGGGCGCCACCTGCCTTCCTCCTCCACCTCGTCCCCGCTTCTCTCTTCCGTCTTCTCTCTCTTGCTCGCTCGCTCGCTCGCTCGCTCGCTCGCCTCACTCACTCACCACTCCCGGCCCCCTGCCCCCCTGTCAACGACCCGGTTTTTCCTTCTAACCTCCGAGGAGCCCCCCCGAAGAAAAGAAAAACAACAACGGACGCACGCACCGCCACGGCGCGAGGGGGGACACAACGGCGGAGCCTGTCACGAGCGATCACTATTCCTCGACGGCACAAGGCACCATTCCGCGGATTTTTCCTGTCGCGATCACGAAGGGCCATCGAACAACCAACAGGGCCATGGGACGCGCGACGGCAACGGCAACTTCTCGTATCTCCTCTCCTCTCCGCTCCTCTTCTTCTTCTTCTCTCTCTCTCTCTCTCTCTTTCTCTCTCTCTCTCTCTCTCTCTCTCTCACTCTCTCTCTCTCTCTCTCTCTCTCTTGCTCGTCGTTTGCGAAGCACACGCTCCACTGCCACTCCTTTCTCCCGCTTGTATCCGGACACGCGCTAGAGGTTTCTCTCCGCGAGAATGGCCACGAGACTCTTCGTGCAAGTCTTAACGTGTTCTAACGTATCTCGAATCCCCCTCTCCCTCTCTCTCTCTCTCTCTCTCTTTCACTCACTGTTTCTTTCTATTTGCCTCCCTCGCACTCGCTCTGTCCGGCGGTGAGCTTTTGCGCGTGCGATCACCCTCCGTGGCTCACTTCACGCTGTTTTCTCCTCGTTTCTGCCGGTGCGCGCGGGCGCGGGCGCGCGTCTTCGTGACAAGAGAGCGTCGGAAAGAGAGAGGGGGGAGAGAGAGAGAGGGGGGGAGAGAGAGAGCGAGAGCCCGCGTCTCTCCACCTGTGCGCGCCTTCGATGTTTCTTGCTGACAATATATGTGTATCCGGGCGATCGGTCCGCAACACGGCCGACGTGACGGCTATCAGGGAGGGAGAGAGAGCCGGCGAGAGACAACCCTCCTTCTCCGTCGCCGGGGGCACTGTTGACGTTTTCGCGTCACAGAGATCAACCGACTGACCGGACGCACTTTCGACTTCCGGGCACGCACCCGGCTGTACAGCACTGAACACTACAGTACGCGGCGGCTGACGGTAACGGCAGTGGCAGCACGACCAGCGCGGTAACGAACGTACTCCGAACGGTATCAGTGTGAACGTGAGAGTGACACACACATGACCGACCAGTGATATCGCGTAGCGCGCACTGCGGGCGGACGGCAGGGAGGCACGGCTCCTTCCCGCGGCCCGTACACCCTCCCCCCGTTGCGCGCTCCTCTTGCCCGCCCGGCTCACCTCCCAACCGGCCGCGCGATGCGATCCAACGTCTCCCCACCGTGCGATTCGAGCGAGCGCGCGCTCTCTCCCCCCATTGCTCCTTTCCAACGCCGCAGCGCAGCGCCGCGGCGCGTCGCGCCTCGCTTCACTGCCACCCATCGCACGAGAGAGCGCCACGGGGGTGGGGTGCTTAGGGCCGTAGCAGCGACCGCGAGGCGCGTGGGGTCGCGCGCCTCGCGCGGGTGGTTCGCAACGGGGCTGCGGGGGTGAGAGAGCGAACGGGCGCCTGGGGGAACACACCGCGCCGCGACGCGACTGCCTTCTCCCGTCTCTCCTGCCGTCGCGTGTGCGCGCGCGACACGCACACACTGCTCCACGGGGCCCACCGCGTTTCGCCAGCGCATCGACGTAACGCGTCGAGCCCGGACCCGCTTTCTTCTCGCGTTTCCGTCCTCTTTCTTCGCGTCGCGGCTCCGTTCCGTATCCGCTCGTTAGCGGTTCGGTTCTCGCCGAAGCTTCGCTTCGAGAGCTTCGCTCTCGAGAGTTACGACGATACATTTCGCCCGCGCCGCGGTGCGAAATTTACGGCAACTCGGACCTCTCTCTCCCTCTCACCGTGCTCGGGCGTACACGTGAAGGTTCTACGTTTAATTGCATGGATTTCTAGTTCGGGACGTTTCCTCCTTCTCCGCCGCGGGATTTGTGCTTGTTTGCGCACTCGCGACCAGCTAGAAGGCGTTCCACCGATATATAGGATTCTCTTGCTCTTTTTCTTCTCCTTTTTCCGCTCCTTCGTCTGCTTTTTCCAGCTTTTCTTTCCTCCCGTGACCGGAGAATTTGTGTGTTTACGCAGTTGGCGGCGAGCCGGAGAACGTTTTATGGTCGTAATTTTTCGAGAAGCTGAATTGTCTGAGGAAGGAAGTTGCATTGAAACGCGAATTACGGCCCGATTCGCAAACGCTCCGGTCAAAACCGCCGTGTCATATGTCATACGTGTTAATCGAACGTGTTTATCATTGGTTGATAAAATAATATTTATCACTCAATCGCCGCTCGTACTTAGACTTGCAATGTTAAGCTGGATCGGTACAAGCTGAAGCAGAGGATGAAAAATATCGCAAGAAGAAATTATCAAACGCAGCCGCAACTTGCTCCGAGGCGTATCTGCCTTCCCTGAGAGGGCACTTGACACGAAAATATGGCCCGAATATGCATACGCTGGCATACAAACACACACACACACACACACACACGACGAGACGAATTCGTCGTGGATTGCAGCTCTCCGGAGGCGTGCTACGTCCCTGGAGTCACGTGACGAAAACACGCGTGACGTCACAAGCGCAGCAGCAGCCAGCTGCCAGTCCAACATGGCTGACCTGTGAGCAGCGGTGCTACTCACGGCCGTCCGCATTTAGTCGTTCGTTTCTACCGTTCGCGCGCGTCCCGTCGGGCCGCAGGACCCGTCAATATGATATCGTCGATCGTCTCGCGTCTCGTCATGTGAGTATTCGAGCCTCGGAGCGCCGTTGACGGCGCAAAGTCGCAGAGGGGTTGAAACTGCACCCGGGCCATCGCCATCGTCCGCCGTCCGAGCGTTCGCGAGAACCTGCGTCGTGTCGTAGTCGGTCCAGTGCACGGTTTATTTTTACCCTTTCGCGATGGGTGCTCCACGTGTGTCGTCCGGTCGCCGCGTTCCAACGATTCGCGCTCGCTGCTACAGTGATTCCATCGCCTATCTTCCGAGCGTTCGCCTCTCGGATCGGCTTGTCGCTATAGATACCTGTGTATACATATATGTATGTCCGTCTCTCCCTCTCTCTCTCTCTCTCTCTCTCTCTCTCTCTCTCTCCCCCCCCCCCCCCCCCCCCCCCCCTCCTCTCTCTCTCTCCTCTTTTTTTTTTTTTTTTTTTTTTTTTTTTTTTTTTTTTTTTTTTTTTTTTTCTCTCTCTCTCTCTCTCTCTCTCTCTCTCTCTCTCTCTCTCTCTCTCTCTCTCTCTCTCTCTCTCTTCGCGCGACAGAGCTGGCCGTCATGACAAAGGAAACAAAGTACAAACGCTGGAAAAGCCGAAACACGACATATCATATCGGGCAGCTGACAAGGTGAGATAAACGGACCTGTGCCTTGGGAACAACCAACGGACGAGATCTCACCGACGGGGATTGTGTCATCGTGCGCAAGCAGCTATCGGCGAGAGGCATTCCCATGTTTGGTAGGACCCTCGTCGCAACGCGTTCGTCGTGCCGAACGAGGAATCGGCCGAGTGTCGCAAGAGGCCGCCGAGGGATTTAAGTCCACGCGGAAACGAGGAGAGAAGACGAGGCGTCTCCGTCGTCGGTGGAACCGGAGCCGCGCGAAGGTAAGGGACCAATGTCACCTATGCGAATCGATGCGCAGTCGGGGAAGTCGGTTAAACGCGATCGTCGCCGGATACGACACGAGCGGGAGAGCTCTCCTCGGTGCCGCGAGAGGTAGCCGCGAGAGGAAATGAAAAAGAGAGAAGGGGGCAAGGATGGAGAACGTCTAATTTGCCTAATTAACGCGTATTGTTGAGTCAGCGCGAGAGTGAAAGCGAACGCTCGCAACGGTCTGTTATGATGAGGACCTAACCTAACCTAACCTAACCCTAACGTAACTTTCGTGTCCGTAGCGTCGGAGAGACGAACGTGTTACGACACTCGGAGCCGCGATTATCGGACGTGTTACACACACGCTTGTGGAAATCGAAGCGGATTACGCGATAACGCGCCTCTTTGTTTATTGTTGCCTTGTTAAGTTAAGAGGAAGAAGAAGAACAACAACAACAACAACAAATCAGAGACATCCTCCTCCCCTCCGCGAAGCGGTTTCACCTCGCGATTACAATACATACGTTCAATGTGAGTCGTTCTCCCCGAGTGTCAGACTCGCAGAGAAACGTGCACTCTCTCTCTCTCTCTCTCTCTCTCTCTCTCGCAATCAGAAGGCAGCCGAGAGCGTTTCCGTTTCTCGAGAAGCCAAGCGCGCCGACAGTAATCGCGTGCGCGATAAGCGCAAACGACGCGTCCTCCGTCAGCTGATCCGAAAGCTACGTCACACGCGGAACGCCGACGGGTCGTTGCACTCTTCGCGCGCCGTTTGCTCCCTCGCTAAGAGGCCACGCTTTGTTTACGGCGTTGTCCGGCGGCGCACGCACGCACGTACGCACGGGCGCGTGCGACAATGCGCCGCGTGAACGTCCGCGGTCTCTCGTCGGCTTGAGACACTCACACGTTCCACACAAACGCGTGCGCTGTGCTTGACAATAAATTAGGACGAAACGGAGAAACGAGGTTGCCGCGATGCTCAAGAGAATCGACACAACGGGGAACCCGTCTTTCTCTCTCTCTCTCTCTCTCTCTCTCTCTCCATTTTTCTCTTCAAGTAGGCAATATGCCCGTATCTCCGCGCTTAAGATATCCTCCCCTGCCGCCGGAGAAAGAGAAGATTCTCGAGTGAAGCGCTTCGTAAAAAGTGCATCCGGTTCACCAAATGCGTCCCGGCTATTTCACGACGCTATAATCTACTATATGTACATTTCCTTCAGTGCATATTCCACTACGCCCCGTCTATTTGCGCGCGCGCACGGTGCTTCGGTGCGACGGTTTTATGGAAAATGCAGAACCACACTTTCTCCTGAGGATAGCACGCGAGATGTCGCGGAGGAGCACGAGTGCCGCGTTCGAATGATGGCTC